AAAAGTGAAACAGTAAGATATACAGGAAATACATTCATTACGTATTTTCATCATCCATTTTTTGTCTGTTCCTGTCTGCACAGGTAGCACATCATGAAAAAGCAACGACTGCTAATTTGGTGCTTTAATAAGCTTTGGTGCTTATTTCAGTAAAAAATAAAGGAGCAGAACAATTACACTGAATTCGTTTCTTTGTCTTTATTCTCTTATGGGTTCATTAGGACAAAAGTGTTTAAGGGCAGACACCCTCATGTAGACAATATTAGGGAAAAATTCTTTATCCAGAATGTCTTAATGGAAGAAAGAAATGAGTTAATTAAGCCATGTCACACAGTTTGCCCAAAATGCTCAGTCTAAAATGATTTTGCCTCACGCAACGCAGCTCCAGGTTGATTACTGTAAGTAGTCAATTCTTAATACATACATTCATGACTAAAGGAGTTCTGAAAGTAAATCAAAACTGTGCTTTTGGGGTTCAAGGTTGGTTGTTTGTAAACAGACCTTAAGGCGAAGCGAACGACCTCCAGATTTTGCCTTCTTGGCCACGCACCGCATGGCATAACAAGGACTAGGGCCTCAGTATTTGTAATTGATGCTTGAATGGCAATGTGGCGTCATATAATCTACAGATATGAAAATTATTAATTTGGTATTTTGTGATATAAAATTATTAATAATGAACAGGGTACCTAACCCTTCCTAAACTCATAGTTAACCCCAATATACCTAGCATGGATGTGTGTATGAGTGACCAAAGCAAAAGATGCTTGAAATATAACTTTCTGTTATACATGATTAGTTTTTCAGTGTCTATTTATTTTATATTCTATTTATATTCACATGGGGGTACAAAAATGCAGGGCTTGGTATACTGTTTGCCTTACTGATGTATATGGAAACTACACATCTACTTAATTATTATTAATATATTGTTTTTACATGGCTGGGGGTCATTCAGAAAACAAAGATTCCATAAAGTTGACAATGGTCTAAAAAGTACCTGTTGTGTCGTAACACATAATTCATCAGTGCGTCATAATAGTGGAATGTGTAATTTGTTTTGTCCAATATTTTTGTCGCCAATCGTGTAACCTTGAATCTTCATATAATCTTCAGGATTAAGATGAGTTTACTTCTTGATCGGTGCCCTGCTTTGCTCAATCTGTTATGGGTGAAAATTAGTAATCTACAACTTGCCCGGCAGGCATGGCATGCATGTATCGCAATAACTTGAACATGTTGTTAATGATATAAATATTTATTATAAAGTACAAACCTATGTAGGAACTTCCTACGTTCTGTTTGCATAATAACTCCTTCCCCTTTAAAAGGAAATTCGATACTGGCTATTACAAAACAATTTTGTGGGGTTTGGTGGTTACGAACAGTTAATCATAACTTCCTTCAACGATCTTGGACATTTGTGTCACTGAGAATTCTGAGAAGACGCCTCAGCTTCGGGATTACGTGGTCTAGTGTATCATACACTGAGGAATTCATCACTGGTTATTTAAATCTACTTAAGTGTCCAGATATGACGGTCTCAGCTGATTTGTGTCTTTACGCATCTTTATTATTCACTTAGATAGTATAGTGTAATTTACCTAACCTCTCAAAGATATAACAGATATTTATATTCTCACCATTATACTATCTCCTTTTTGATCTCTAAAATATCTAAAACTTTGTGCTTGCAGCCATCCTTCATGTTTAACTCCAAACAAAATCAGGTTTCATGGATTCAAGTCTACACTTAGTCCCCTTTCCCATTAATAGAAATAAGGTAAACACCTTGTTGCATGAGGTGTACTTCTATTTGCTATAGGACACCTGTCAATACACTTATTTGCGGTAGAACTAGTGGCTTGTCTATCTTTCATATTATTCTTGAAGGTCTGAACAAAACGTTCAGCTTCCCCATTTGTAGCTGAACGATATGTTGAATTGAATGTATGCTTGATATGATAAACCTTCAGAAAGATTGAAATTCTTTGTAATCTGAGGTCCATTGTCAGAAACGGTCTGCTCAGAGGTGTCATGTTACGTAAATATCTTCATCAAAGGCTTTATTGTATCAAGTGAAGTAGTTGGTGAATGCATCTGTATTAACTCTGGCTACTTACTGTATGTATCCACAACTATACAAAATATGGTTTGAATGGGCCAGCTTCTTCAATATGTAAATCTTTTCCAAGCTGAACTAAGATATTCTCGAGTATATGACTTTATTGGCTTTAGATTATTCTGATACAATGCACATCCCTCACACATCTTTATGCATAGATCTAAATCACTATCAATATTTGGCCGCCATACAAATGTAGATACAATCTGCTTGGAGGCAATGGGTAACTGATAGGCATCTATTACTATAACACATACTACTTCTCATATGCATCATTGTGAACATATGCACTGTGCACTGTTTCAAGGTAGATATAGTTATTGCTAAATATTATACAAATGGTAGATAGACATATACCGGCTGCTATATGTTATA